ATTCTGGCATTACTTAAACTTTTCAAAGAATCAACAAATAATAATGGGCGAGAATTATATAAGCAACTAACATCTTGGAAAATGCTGGCATTTTTATTTTACTTTTACAATATCTTGAAACATGTAACACAATTGAGTAAATTTTTACAAAAAAGAAATTTTAAAATTTTTGATATAGACCCTATGATACAAGTTACAATTAATTCTATTTAAAAGGAATATATTCTAATGAATCAAAATCAAAGATTTGGACAAAATGTTCAAATATTTATAGATGAAACTAATTCATTTATAAATTCTTTAATAACATATTTGAATAATAATCTTTCTTTTATTGAAAAAGATTATGATGAATTTATAATAGATGCGCATGATTATTTAACAAATGTTATTAATAAACTTCAGCATAGATTTCCTAACCGGCAATTATTTGCTTCTATAAAAATATTAAATCCTCGTAAATGGCCAAATGATTCTCAAAAATTATTATTGTTTGGAGATAATGATTTAGAAATTTTATTAAAGTATTTTGAGAAACCAAATTTTCATAATAATATTCAATTTTCTGCACTTTTTGATATTAAAAAATGTAGGGAAGTGTGAGCAGGGTTCAAGATGATAACTATCAATAATTTTTCTTCTAATAATATTGAGGTATTACTTCCTTTATTAATTCAAGATTATAATGATATATTTTCAAATATCATTAAATTAATTCAAATAGTTTATTGTATCCCCTTTTCAAGTGTGAAATGTAAGCGTGGTTTTAGTAGACAAAATAAAATTAAAACAAAGGATAGAAATTTATTAATTACAAACACATTAGATATGCTGATGCGCGTTTCTTTGAAAGGTTCAGAAAGCAAGAATTTTAATTATACACGCGCTTATACAATTTGGAGTAATCAAAAAAGGCGTACAGGCATTAAATGATCATATTGTAGTAATCAAATTATTGAAATTATTGATAATAAAGATGTCAGTATAATAATAACTGGATAGTAAATTTTCATTTTTTATAAGTATATTAAATTACAAATTTTATTAAAAAAAATTTCTGGCATTTGTAAAATATTTCAGAAATCTGTTGCGCCATAACCGAAAAATTTCTGGGATTAAAAAAATTTACCAGTTTTATTAGATATTAACTGGAAAAACTGGGTAAATTAGAATAGATTTTTTATGCTGTGTTCAACTATGACACAAGTTCAAAAAAAGCTTAGCATTGATTACGATATTAAAGTTTTTTTCAGAAACTGTTCGTCAAGTGTTTAAGAAGAATAGCTTAAAGTCAGCTACAAAATTAAAAAACCTTTATTATTACAATGTTATAAAAAGCTCGATATGAATTCGCAAAAAAATATAAACATTGGAGTTTTGAAGATTGGAAAAAAATAATATGGCCTGATGAGTGTAAATTTAATATAATTGAATCAGACAGTTGTCAATATTATTAGAAGCGAAGTAGAGAAAGTTTAAAAGTTAATCATGTTAAGAGTACAGTCAAGTTTGGTGGTGGTGGTATTTTCGTATGGGCTGTTTTACAGCTCAAGAAATAGGATATTTATGTCGTATCGATGGTAGGTTAGATGCAGAATTATATATTCAAATTTTAAAAGATGATTTTCTTGAAACACTTAATTATTATAATATAAATATTAATAACATTATCTTTCAGCAAGATAATGACCCTAAACATACAGCAAAAATAACAAAAAATGGTTTGCGAATAATAAAATAGCTGTTCTTGAATGGCCGGCCCAATTCCCAAATCTTAACCCTATTGAAAATATGTGGAGTGAGGTTAATCGACGATTACAAAACAGTCACGAATATATAAATAATAAAGATGATCTTTAGGATAAACTTCAAGTAATATGGAATAATATTGAACTTAAAACCTGTACCAAACTAATCGAAACTATAACAGAATGAGTTGATGATTTATTTTCACAAAAAGGTGGATATACAAGATGGTAGATAATAAATATAATAATATTTTTATTATTTTAA